TCATGGGCAAAAAAAATTAAGGCAGCTGCAGGAAATGCGATAGCCGCTGCTCGTGAGACCCAGCTATTTAGTTTAGCCCCAATCCACGCCGCGTGAGCGGCGTATGGGACACGAGGCGGTGGCGGAAGTCGCAGGAAGTGCGCAATTCAAGTCACCGGAAGGGCGCAATTGACACGTGACTGAGGCCCTGTTAGGGTATATTTTTTGCCTCGATAATTTGGGACTGTTCTTCGGAAGATAGCCCAAATCTGTATTGCAAATATGAATGTGCCTAGTCTCAACTTTCTTCTGTGATCATAATAACGACCTATGGTCAGCCCCTTGTATTGTGATAGACCAGATCCAACTGAATCGTAATGAGAGATAAAGACGGGGTTTTTATCTGGTACTATTCTTGGCAATCTGCAATGGCGCTTGATATGGCTAACTCTATTTTAGTTTCTGCTACAAGATGTTGTTTACAATCTTCCTTGGTGTTCTTGAATAAGACGTTTGGTACAAGTTAGCCAGCTCTTCTCAACTTACAACTAAAGGTTAGTTGCATATCCTTTAAAGGACGTTGCAGAACCAACCCCAGCAGCCCCTGGCTGTTTTGTGGTTTCTCTGGGCAAATTTACATCCAGTAGTTTGCCATTGCTTTCTGGGCGGTCGGTTCCCTAATACCACTGTCGAAACCAACGCAAGGCGCATGGCCCGCAGCTGGGATCGAACCCAGTACCCCGGCATTACGAAGCGTTCGCATCGACTTAGCCATAGAGCCGACCAACTTACAACTATCAAGGCTTTATAAATTGCGCAGTGCAAAAAAAAAAAAAAAAACTCGACTACTTCAACCTTTTGCTACCCAACCGAAGCCGCCAACAGTCTCCAGTTATATTTGTGGTCTGGTTATTTGCGCCAATTCCGCGACTAATGTTCTGATTTGCACCAGCTCTCTAGCTAAGTCCTTCTTTCTCTCAGTCAGACCGCTCGATCCTTTACGGTGTCCGACTGTGTTTCTCCTGCCCTTATATTTCTGGCGTTTTCCTCTTTGTTCATGCTTCTTCTAATTTGGCTAGGTGTATCTCGTGGACTATCTCCAAGTCCTTAAGAAAGAGAATAGGGGCTTTTGAGCTGAAAAAGATTCTCAGAATATCTTGGACAAAGAAGATGAGAAATATTGACATCTTAAAAGATCTGAAAATCAAGGAAGATTGGCTAATAAACAGCATCCTTTCTCGAAAGCTGAAATATTTTGGTCATATCAAGCGCCACGACGGATTGGAAAAAAATTATAGCAGAAGGCATGGTACCAGTAAGGAGGCGCAGGTGCCGACCGACAAGAAGATGGGCACAGGATATAAGTGACTCCTTGAGTGTGAAAGTACATGAGGCGGGAGAACTGGCGAGAGACCGAGTTTCTTTTATGCAGACTGTGATGAGAGCGACGTTCTGCAAAGGACCTGCTACATGATGATGATAATGTATCTCGTAAAAGTCCGAGCTTCTCCACATAAAGTACTTTGGACCTCCAATCATTGAAGGCTAGACTCAAATTTTTATAGACCAATCTACAGGAATTCTCATGCCACCCTCGACTCTAGAAATCGTCTTAATGTTTATTGTTTATTATTAAAAAACAGCTTAGCCTTGAACCCAACAGTGACCTTGACCCTATAAAGTGCGTTTCCTTTACCGGCAGACGTAGACGTCAACTTGATGTTGTTGCGTTGTTTTCGACCGCCAGCTTTCTTCTTGGACAAGTGCGTAAATATTTGTTTTTGTAGACATCGAATGATTTGCTTGTGATATTAACTTTATTTTGTATTAAAATTTAACTGATACATGTTTTCAAAAAGTGTGCAATTGCGAATATTATAGCAATAAATGGTTTAGTTGTAAACTTTACTTGTTGTGGTAAATACATCACTAGCCTGTAGGACTGTAGGGGATTTTGGATTGGTATACCAGTGAATAGTCGGCTCTGTGGCTAAGTCGATGCGAACGCTTCGTAATGCCGGGATTCTGGGTTCGATCCCAGCTGCAGGCCACGCGCCTTGCGTTGGTTTCGACAGTGTTATCAAGAAAGCCGACCGTCCAGAAGCAATGGCAAACTACTAGACGTAAATTTGCCTAGAAAAACCACAGAACAGCTAGGGGCTGTTGGTGTTGGTTCTGCAACGTCCTGTAAAGGATACGCAACTAACCGTACCAGTGAATGTAATAATAATAAATATTATTAAAGCAGTGTATGAAGGTTGAGAGTTTGCAGTGCGAACTGATGATGATTTAGTGATTGGTTTGCAGTTGAAGCTGAAGTGATAGGAATTTATAAATCCCCTGTTATTTGGCATAATCATTGACTGGATGATAGAAAAATGTTGGAAACAACCGCAGTGACTGGGTGGAGAACCTACAGTCGGGAGATTTAGATTTAGCTGTTGATATTGTTCTGCCAAGTAAAAACACCAGTGACATGCAAAGCAAACACACGATTTAGCAAATTTTGACATAAAAAGTTGCACTACACAGACATTCTGAAAATACAAAAATATAATAATGACACCAGTAACAGACCAGGCAGATGTAAAACCAGATTACTTATTTTCAATTCTGTTATTTCAGTTTTAACATATGCCAGCAAAAGTTGAGAACCACTAAAGAGATGGTACAAAAGTTTATTGAATCTGAAAACAAACACCTGCGGAACATTTTTTAAACATAGGATAGGATGAAATTAAGAGGGGTGAAAGTGATATTGGGGCAACCACTAGTGGCAGCAGTTACAAGATAGGCTTCCGGTTAAAATGGACGCTAGACAGCGGCGCCGTTCGGAACAGAGGCACATTTTTTGCTTCTGCCGGACGGTGGCCGATACATTTTTGCTCCATTTGTAGACTGGATATAGTTTCGTCGCCCAGTTTCTGAGTTGAATGCATGGCGTGACCCTGTGAGCTGCGGATTGCATTTGGAATGTTTTTTTCGACTGTGACCAACGTGGTGTTGTGAATTGTAGATTCAGAAAATGGCGCGATGCCTGTCGTTCAATGCTTGCGGGACCCGTATTAAAATTGATCACGCGGACAACTGCTGATCTGTTGACGACAAGTTCTGCTATCATCAATGATGAACTGCATTTCTAATGTTGGACTGTTTGTGTTAGCACTTCGGATGGCTACCATATGCTTTAATGCGAGTGTATGCTAGATATGCTGAGACAGCAGTCTGTCAATCTTTCCACAAGGGACTGATAGACATTCTGAGTGTTTCTCGCTGGCACAGGAGCGGAGCAAAGATGGGGCAACCCGTTTGCTATGAAGCTGAAACTAAGACTACCAGACTACCAGTTACAAGATAAAGAAGATGGAGCTGACCTCTGAATGATGGGTCTGAATGATCGCGTCTAAAAATATATCCTAACAGGGCCTCAATCATATGTAAATTGCGGAGTCCTTTCCGGTGAGTACACCGCAGCAAAAGTAGGATTCATTTTTGGTGATACTTTCGCAAAATGCAAAAAATATCGTGGAATTATCACCATGGCAGGCAGACCATCAGCTTTGACACTGGGTCCTACGTGTAACCTCTTACCTAGGTCCTAGGTTTAACCTCTCCCCTGGGTCCTAGGTTTAACTTCTCCCCTGGGTCCTATGTGTGAAATCCCCCCTGGGTCCTAGGTTAACTTCTCCCCTGGGTCCTTGGTTTAATGTCTCCCCTAAGTCCTAGATGTAACTTCTCCCCTGTGGCCTAGGTTTAACTTCTCCCCTGGGTCCTAGGTTTAACTTCTACCCTAGGTTTAGAGTTAGGGCAATGAGTATTACAATCATGACACCGCCACCAGAATCTGTTGCAACAGTCCAACCGCTACACTAAAGATTGACGGGTTATGCAGTCAAATGACACAGGCATAATGTTACAAATGCGGGACTGGTCGCGCGTTTTGCCACCCGCCACTGGTGTATTCACCCGAAAGATATCCTAATTTTAATTGTACACGCCAGTGAGGCCCTGTTAGGGTATGTTTTTAGATACGATCATTCAGACGCATCATTTGGAGGAGAGCCGAAGATGGTGCTATTTTGGACACTTCTTGAAAAAAAATGAGCAGAGGGTTCCGAATATCGGTCCGAAATTATCGAGGCCGAAAATATACCCTAACGGCCTCAGTCACATGTACATTGCACACTTCCGCCGACTACCACGACTGCCGAGAGTATCTCCCACGCCACTACCCGCACGTGGAGCGAGGCTAAACTAGATGGCTGGGACTCACGAGCAGCAGTTACCGCATCTCCTGCAGCTTCCTTCATTTTATTTGCTCGTGAGTCCTAGCTATCTAGTTTAGCCCTGCTCCACGCTGCGTGCAGCAGTGTGGAGATACTCTCAGCGGTGGCAGTAGTCGCCGGAAGTCCGCAAGGTACATCTGACTGAGGCCCTGTTAGGGTATATTTTCGGCCACGATAATTTGGGACCATTATTCGGAGGATAGCCGAGCAGAGGATCAACAAACAAATACTCAAATGGGAACTAAAGGCGTGGAGGAAGTGAAGACATAAAAAAAAAGCCTAGAAAAATAACAGAGGCCAAAGGTGCTGGACCGGATTCTATTCATGACATCAAAGGGATTGTAAGGATAGAATGGGATGGCAGAATAGACTGCAAACCCAATGGGACATAAATGGTACAACAGAACAATGATGACGAGCAGAGGATCAACAAACAGATACTCAAATGGTAACTAAAGGCGTGGAGGAAGTGAAGACATAAAAAAAAGCCTAAAACAATAACAGAGGTCAAAGGTGCTGGACCGGATTCTATTCATGACATCAAAGGGATTGTAAGGGTAGAATGGTATGGTGGAATAGACTGCAAGCCCTATGTGACATGCATTGGCAAAACAGGACAATGATGATAATTTATATTGTTATATTTAGTGGAATTAGAGAATCAGAAATTTACCTTTTGATGTCTTTTAATTTAGATCCACATTGTTCAAGCTACTTCACACATTAGACAACAGAATGGTTTCAGCACTGATTTTCTTGGCAGAAGGAGCCGAGGAGATGGAAACAGTTATTGTGGCTGACGTGCTGCGTCGTGCAGGTGTAAGTTATTATGTTTCATTTTCTTCAGCGTTCTCCCTTGGAAGGGCAGTTGGCACGTTTACATTTGGGCTGGGATATCTGCATCTTTGAACACCAGCTTGTACAGTGCATTGGAAAAGCGCACAATCCTTATATCTCCCCCCAACACCTTGTTGAGGTAAATGGTGGAAGTGAAAAAGAAGATGCACACACATTAAATTGCATAAAGCAACGTCTGAAGTAGCCAAAGCACCATCACTACTATGGCAACATGCCATTTGCCGTTTCTGAATCTGTAGTTCAAAAAATTTTAATGTCAGAAAGAGGGTGCTAAAATGTTACATAGAACTTTTTCTGCTGTATGGCAGCGAATCTTGGAGCACAAGGTAGACCAAGAACAAGATGGAAAGATGTGTCTCAAAAGTTTGCATACATAGAAAAAATAAAAATGTAATGAAAACCATTTTTGTTTATAAAATGTGCTTTAACTTGTTTTGAAAATGCATTTCAATGCGTGTCCTCCACTGCTAAAGAACGTATAAGTATAACCAGAGTTATGCTTATAATGGCGTTAATGATATGTTTTTTTTTCTATACTATACCTATTCAGGGGCTACGTGGTCTTCAGGTATGGCGTCTGCCTCGAGTGCTGGAGGTCCCGGGTTCAGACCCCAGTCAAGGCTGGGATTTTTTCATGTGGACTTCTAATCTGATGCCTGTGTGTATTGTTGTGCACTTAAAAAATCCCTTGGCAGTTGGAAATTAAAAGAGTAGCCTAACGCCGTTTCCTGGGCAAAATTTGGATTTTAAAATCTACCCATATTATTTCAGGATCCTCGCCGGTGCTATGGAATTTGTACACTGCGCTGAAATTCTTCGGACTCGGGCTTGAGTCAGAAGTAGAACAGAGCACTTATGGATTACTCCTTGTGTCTGTAATGTTGGTCTGTTGTCTAAACCTAAACCTTATTTTTCTATATTTGGAAACTTATGGGACACCCACAACAGTATGCTGTGTCAGTGGTCGAGGCAACAAGAAGCAGAACCGGCTCTCCTTTCAATTTCGGCCGGTAGACAAACATAGACGGTCGGTTAATCGAGTTATGTCCCCTTGCAACAGTGCAAATACGGACTGGACAGGAGGGAACGCAACAAATGACATAATTACTATGTGTTGCCGATAGACAGCATACGGTTACAGTTAGGGTTAGGGTTTGGTTTAGCGGTAGGGTTAGGTTTAGGGTGTGGGTTAAGGTTAGTGTCGCTGCATCTCGTCTTCGCACAAACTCATAGTAGCAACCAAAACCCTAACCCTTACCCTAGGGCACTGCACACTGTCTATCGCCGACATACAATAACTATGTCACTTGTGTCGTTCCCTCTAGTCCACTCCGTAATGCGTCGGAAGAAGCGGCAATTGAACGCGGTCGCTAATTTGAGTGGCAGCGCGGGGTCTGCATGTCGACCTCACTGTGTTTTTTTATTCGTGCCGTCTCCAGTCCGTAATTGCACTGTAAGCAAGGGGACATAACTCTGACTAACCGGCCGTCGATGTGTGTCTACCGGCCGAAGTTGAAAGGAGAGTTGCAGAACCTTACATCTCCCTCGACGCTGAAAGCGATTAGAGAGGAGGAGGAGAAGATGAAGACTAACTTTTTTCATTCATATTTCCCTAGATCAATGTTGTCATTGCTGGAGTTTCTGGCAGTGGTCCAGTCTTGTGTAGCCGGGATGTGAAAATTGTTCCAGACAAAAGTTTGAAGGAAGCACTTTCTGCTGGACCCTATGATATTCTTATTTGTCCTGGAGGTGCAAAGGGGTCTGAAACTTTGTGCAAGGTAGTGCATATTTTATTTCTTGTATCTTTACTTGTTTGTACAAAATCGTTTTGTCACCCTATTCTATTGTTGTCATTTGTTCTTCTGCTTTCTCCCTTAAAAGGGCGGTTGGCAAGTTGTGTTGTGGGCACTCTTCTGAATACCGGTCCCAAATTATTGACTGTCCAAAACATCCCTTTTAGAGCCTCAAGGGGTTATAAAGAGGTCAAGGGTTATAAAGAGGTTATACAAAATATGGAAAAGGAACAACAAAATATGGAACAATACGTTTAAAGTTAAGCACTGTGGGGAGAAATAGTTTTCGATCCACTGAAGTGACGTGGGGAGGAATAATTTTCGATTCATTGAAGCACTGTGTCGATGGGTAGCAACGTTTAGATCATCATCATCATGTTTTCACTTCTGCCGTTAAGCGCCTTGAAATAATAATTGAGGCCATCATCATCAGTTTCCACTTCTGCGCAATGTTTAAAGTTAAGTGCCTAAACTATGACCTCTTGAGGCCCTGAATGGGATTTTTTGTCTTTAAATAATTTGGGACCGTTATTCGGAAGAGTGCCATGTTGTGGAATACAACTAGGCTGCGATATCTGCACCTTTCAACCCAGCACATCTCATTTAAAAAGACTCTTAATTGGTTGCCTTTTTTTCCCCGTCGTCTTTCTGGGACCCCATTGTAGGGAAAACAAGAATAGACCTACTGCCTCCCCAAGAAGCGTGTCGTAAGAGTTGACTAACTGGGAGCTTCCTTCCAAGTCGGAGTGCACCTGCCTGAGAAGCAATGAACCATAATCTGCAAATACATGAGTCGGATCTGTAAAACGGATGCACACGAAAGTCAGGTTTTGAAACCGGACTACAGTCTAGAAGTGAACGAACAACCAGAACTTTTCGCCAGAGTTTACAGCCGGTATACACAAAGAAGAAAGATTATTATCACACTTTACTTCGTAGATCCGGGTCTTTTATGGCAGTGAATCGTAAAATATGAATGAATAAACAGGATTGCCGAGCATTGGACATGTTCCTGAGACACATCGAATACTTGAACAAAACAACCAGAGTTAACTAACAACAGTTCCCTGGGAATTGCTGAATGAAGCAGATCAAAGTACACAACTGTAATATAGAAGCAGTTTTGTTTGTTTATGGGAAGAAAGGCATTTAAAAACATGGTCGTGACATGAAAGATTGGTGTAGAAGAGCAGAGGAAGACAGAGAAATGATTTGATGGTCTCATGATTTGATGGCAGTGGCACGGGGGAATATTGTCAGACAAATGATTCAGAACACCAAGAGCACAATTTTTGGAGAAAAAAACAACATAATACCTGTGCCATCTGGCAAGGTATGTAATGGTGCTGAGAGAAGCATTGTGTGTTTTGTTTGGAAGATGTTGATTTCTATTTGCTTTGGTTTTATAATGTTGATATCACAAGCACTACATCTCAGAAGATCAGCTACAAGAGCAAGAGGACGGTCGCGGAAAATATGGATCGACAACATTAAAGACACTCTACACCTTCACAGCATAGCTTCGTAATGCCGGGATGCCTGGTTTGATCCTAGCTGCGGGCCTTGCGTTGGTTTCGACAGTGGTATCAAGAACGCTGACCGTCCAGAAAGCAATGGCAAACTACTGGATGTAAATTTGCCTAAAAAAACCACACAACAGCCAGGGGTTGGGGTTGGTTCTGCAACGTCCTGTAAAGGATATGCAACTAACGAACTGTTGAATGTTTTATGGTTTAGATGGCATGATGACCGCAACTACTCTCTCAGACTCTAGTCGCATGCAGCCTTCCCAGGCACACTGAAGGATAGTTCAGCATGAAACAAGGAACATTGGAAACACCACACAGCTGATCAGTACAAAATGTTAAGAGGTTCCAGCAGCTGTTTCCTCTGCCAGTATACCAAAGATATAAATGTCTAGGGCGACCAGATCGGTCACATACAAAGCAGCAATGTTATTAACGTTACCTTTCACAGGGTGACCACACTTCCAGAGCCAGACACTTTAAGGTTTACAACCACTCACACAAACGAGGTTCGGCCATGGCAAGATGTCAGGCTAAACAAGATGGCCAAGTTTTCTTGGGACCCACTGTAACGCTTGAGCAGAAATTTACTTGCTTGTAGATTCACTTGACTTTCAATCTTCCAGCACCGTCAGACACACTGTGACAGGATCAAAAACAAGACTGAATCTTGTAGGTCATTCCAAGTTTAAATAATCTCTTGAGTTCTTGAACATTGTACATTCACGCTTTTTCTCAATTAAGACACTTTCAGTCAACTTGCATGCTTGTCTCGAGTTATTCTTACATTTTACCTCATATTCTTTACCCTTCAACCGAATTCAAGCACATAATTTATGTTTAGTATTTAACCTCATTTTCAGATGTGAACAGTAATTGACAAGGAGAAAATTACTCATAAAATTACAGTCTTCCTAGTTCTACTTCTTCTTAGCTGTGATTTTAAGCTCTGGTGAAAAGTTCTGATTGTCCGTCAATATCTGGACTTTGGTTTTGTTTCAGAACTTGAGTTTTGCTTGTTTTTCCATTTTACAGATCTGGCTTATTTCTATGATGACTATTAGTTTATTTGTATGCTATTAGATCCTCATCTCTCAAACTGGCTCAGGCAGAAGACACAATCAAACAGGTTTGCATCCTTGAGAACATTAGGCGAGGAGAGGAGTGGGTCAAAGTGCCACCTGAGCAGTCAGACCTGTGTAGAGTTATAATCACGCTGAGCCGAGAATGCAGAGACTGGTCAGCAGGTGCCACAGAGGTGGAAATTCAGCAATTAATTCAAGATAATGCTCGCTCTGAGGATTTGATCATTTACACAGACAGTTCAGTGTCAAGAGGCAAAAGAAGTGCTTGGGGCTTTCTTAGCAAAAGTTAATGGTCGACGTTTGGTGCAGGAGAGCCTAGCATATGATACCACAAAATCCAGCTTGAGAATGGAGGTGGAGGCGGTCACTGCAGCTTTCCACTGGCTAGAGAACACGACACACACACACATCGTGATTCAGAAAGCATGCTGAGGAAGATCAGAACAGGTATGCTTCGTGCAGAGTGGCATGCTTCGCTGCGGAGGACACGAGTGAGGAGTATTGTCTGGATTTTTTCACTGGGTCACGCCCGTGTGTTGGGAAATGAACAGACGGACAGACTGGCTGGCTCTGCACAGCTTGATGAATACTGATACAGACGTGGTTAGTGCCTTGTGGGAGAGCGTGTACAATTCGGATGAGCAGATGGATCACCACAGTCTAGTGAGATTGATGCAGCTGGGGGTGATGAGAGGTTCTGGCAGAAGCTCGAGGCTCAGAGGAAAGGCAAGAAGGACGTTTAATCAGAAAGCTACTGGCACCATTAGTATCGGAACTGTTCGCTGGCTGCTGAAGATGGGGACGGAGCGCTTATGGGAATGCCCCGAGTGCTGTGATGTCGGTTCTTAAATCAAATCAAATCTCTCAAACAGATGCACCATGACTTTGAAGAAAAGAACATTTTGATTTTGAAGAAAATACCCCTTATTAATCACGTTTTTCCACATGATTGTTGGGGGCGGGAGTGCATTGGACCCAGAAACCCCACGGGGACCTAAAAAATTGATATCATTAAATTATTTTAGTGTTACGTATACAAGTAAAAGCTGGAGAACCCCCTAAAGAAGAAAACGTTTGAATGCATAGAAAAATTAATGCTTCAGGAAATTCATGAAGATAGGAAATATTAGGCATATTGAGGAGAAATGAACACAGGCGCTAAAATGGGAAACAAATGGATTGAAGAGGCGAGAACATTAAAAGGAAACGCTAAGACAAACATTGATGATAAAAACCAGAGATGCTGGACTAAAGTCCATCTGTAATATTGAAATAGTTGCACAGGAAAGAGAGAGAATGGAATAATAGACTGCAAGCCCAATGTGACGCATAATGACATGATGATGATGATTTCTGTCTAACTATCATTGCATCCTGTTTTTTTGTTTTCTAACAGAATGCAGAAGTTGGTAAAGCTCTAAAGGATCAAGAGGCCAAGGGAGGTTTTATTGCTGCAGTTTGTGCTGGTAATTCATTTATTCTGTTTTCTTTCCCTTTGGTCTCAAAATGTCATTTTTTCAAAGCCACTCCCTGCACACTTACATGCTGGCCCAAGAACCATGTGTTTGTAACCACATCTTCTTCTTCTTAGCGTTGACTGGCGGTAAGTTCTGGTTGTTCTTCCACTTATAATTTTTGGTCCTGTTCCAGGAAATAGCCTGGAAGTGGCTAATGAAAGTAGAACATTATATACAACAATGAAAAAGAGATGAACGACATTCTTTGGTCATGTGATGAGAAAAGGAGCACTGAGAAAATATTGTGACGACTGGAAAGATCACTGGTAGAAGACACAGAGGCAGACCAAGAGAAATGATGGTGGATAGCTTGAGACAGTGGCATGTTGGAATATCATCAGTTGAGTTAATCCAGAACACCAAAGACCGAAATCTGTGGAGCTGCATGAATGCCTGCGCCAGCTGACAAGGCACTTGATGATGATCCAGGCCTTGAGTTTTGCATGCAATTCCATTTTACAAATCTGGCTTATTTGTATGCATACTGCTGGTTCCTGGCCTCTCAGGCAGATGCACTCTGACTTTGAAGAAGTTTACAAAGGAATGTTGCCAACAACTTTTTGGTGTCCTAAAACATCCCTGATTAGTTGCCTCCTACAGCGTGCTTGTTAGGGGTAGTGGGGCTATTCTTTATTCCCCCATAAAAGGCCTAAAGACATCTAAGCTTGGATATTAATATAAACAATACATGTAACCAGGGCTCCTTTGTCAACTGGTAATAAAAATAGGTACCAGTAATTTTTCTGAGAAGTCAGGCATTTTAATTGAGGATTTGCTGAAATAAGCTATGAATTATGAGTTACGAGAATCAACATCATAACATTTAAGTTTTTCTACACCTTAGAACAGGACACAATCGACTTCGCAGCCACTTGTACACACAATTTAAAATCAGCGAATCAGCCATGTGCACATGTGGATTGAGACAACTGATCAATTCCTCTAAGACTGTCCCAAATACAACATATCAAAACAAAACTTTTGGCCAGAGAAACACTGGTGCAAGCCAAACTTTATGGGTCACTGAGAGAATTACAAAAGACAGTGAAGTCCATACTAGAGACAACATTGCAGATATAGATAATCTATTTCAAGCGAAGGAAAGAAGAAGAAGGGACATTCCCATAAGCGCTGCATCCCCATCTAAGGGAGCAAGAACAGAGTTATAATTTTGATGATCCCAGAAACAGTCTGACTGTGTGTTCATCTCATACCTTCCCTGAAAAAGAAAAGATATGTTGGGTAGAAATATGCAGATTTTGCAGCCTAGCTGTAATCCATAACTTTGTATCTCACAGTACCTTTTGCAAAGCCACTAATTTCGTCTTGTCCCTGTCCGAGAACATCTGGTAATACGTGCAGCAGGAGAAAATCAACCCTGAGCTTCATGAACTCAGGTGAGCCCACTCTCTGAAAATGTATAGGAGATCGTGGGCCGAAACATTTGTCGACGAGAGATTACTTCTACTGATGATTGGTAGACCCCTGCTGTACATGCTCCCCTGTGGAGTTTCTTCTTATCATAACCCATTGTACCAACTGCTCTTTTAATGGTAAACACAGCAGAACGGGGTCATGCAACTAAAATTATGAAGAACTCCACAGGGAATCATGCACAACAGGGGTCCACCGATCATCAGTAGAAATGTCACTTGTCAACGATTGTTTCGGTCCATTATCTTCCTAGACAGTCTCGGAAGGTGGGCCGACCTGGTTCATGATGACAGGCCTCGGACATCCCCTGCTGCACTTTTTCGGACAGGGACAAGACGAAATTGTGACTTTGCAACAGGTATTATGAGATTTGGTGTAAGCAAATTATGCGACTACTTTCAGGACCAGAGTGACAAGCTTACGATTGGTTCATCGGACAGAGGTTAGACTCTGGCAGATGGCAGAGAGACACTGGCAGACATTTTTATGGGATACTTTGGCTGTAAAATGATGTAAAATTTTGTTCCACTATGGGCACGGACTAGTCTACCGAAGCCCATTGCCCACGATGTTCCATTGCAACCAAACCCAGCTCAAAGCCCTTTCCTCTGCTTTGCTCAGCTGTTTTAGTGCCCGTTTCCGTTCATTTCCTCGCAATGCAGGAGTGTCAGGTAGATTATTGTCATTTATAGAGTCTTAGTTCATCTGATCTAGTTACAGTTTATTTATTTCAGCTCCCACTGCACTTGCAGCTCACAGCGTTTGCAAGGGCAAAAAGGTCACTTCATATCCAGGAATGGGTGACAAATTAAAAGGTAAACTTCCTTTTATTATTCGTCTGTATTTTTCACATTCCCACTTCTTCTTTATTTGACTCCTCACCCGATACTCTTCTGATCAGTTTTGCTAGTCACCAGTGTTACAAGTGCTCATAAGAAAACCAAAATATAACACACTAACCCTGTGGTCTCCAAGGGGCTGTCACCTGCAGACCCCACTGCTGCTCAAAATGGAGGATAGGCAGGGTCACTGTTTTTAGTCTTGGCAAATGTTTGCTTCTGATAGATGCTGGCCATTGCATTTTCCTCCATTTGTAGACTGGAAGGATATACTTTTGTCACCCAGCTACTGAGTTGAGTGCATGGCGTGACTGTGAGCTGTGGATTTCATTTGGAATGTTTTTCATCTGTGACCTACAGGGTTTTGTGAACTGTGGATTCAGAAAATGGCGAGTTGCCACAGAATTAGGGTGCCTTGTGTGATTGCGAATGCAACTGCTGATCTGTTTGTAACTGCTGCCTCTGTTGATGATTAACTGCATCTAATGCGGGCTTGTTTGTTTTATCACTTCTAATAGCTGCTTTATGCTTTTAATGTGTGTTTGTGTGCTAGTGGATATGTTCAGGACTGCAGTCTATGTTAATTATTCCGCAAGGGACAATGATGGACCTTCTGTGTGTGTTTCTTTGGCACAGGAGCAGAGCAACCATGGGGTAACTGGTTTGCTATGAAGCTGAAACTAAGATTACCGGATCCCTCTTAGTTTTGCTCTGGCATGGACCCCATATTTTTTAATAGTCATACCGAAGAACTTATCATTTATCAAGATTAGAATCGCAAAAAGGATAGCATTCTTCTTCTTCTTCTTCTTCTTCTTCTTCTTCTTCTTCTTCTTCTTCTTCTTCTTCTTCTTCTTCTTCTTCTTCTTCTTCTTCTTCTTCAATCACCGGCTGCAAGCTTCATCGAAAAGTCCTGGTTGTTTGAACTTTGTGCCAGGGCCTGAGTTTTGCATCCATTTTACTGGCTTATTTGTATGCAGTTGATTGTTTTTCACCGCTGAGGCAGATGCACTCTGTCTTCTAAAGAAGCTCCCAAAGTCAACTGTACAACATGCTTGTTGGGGTGGTAGTGGGTCTGTTTTTGTTTTTCTCACACTGGAAGCCCAGAACCTATACAGGAAGGATAGCATTCTGAATGTGAGTTTTGTTGTGTGCGCGTAAAGGAAATCACAGACCGCTTAAATTTGTTCCATGAACTCCCGGGCACCCGTACACCATCACGGATCTGCAGACCACCAAATGGGAACAGCTGCTCCAACCTGATCTGCATATCTAAAGTCCTTTGTAGACTTCATGTTTGGTTAAATCTTGTGGCTGAAGTTTCCGACAGGATAAAGTATCCAGTGTGCTGGGCTGGTATTTGTTGACTGGATTAGCCTTCCCGGTTACAGTTACTATTCTTTGCCTCCCTGTAACACACAAGTAACTCAGGATTGGCAGGATCAGAAATGACCAAATCAGATACAAGTTCTCTATATGGGTTCGTCTGCATCTGTGGCTTAGGCATTGCCCACACACTTCCTAATGCCGGGTTCCCAGCTGCAGAAGATTTATCTTGCGTTTGTTTCGACAGTGGTACCAAGAGCTAACCCTTCGGAAAGCAGTGGCAAAACTACTGGATGTAAACTTGCCTAGAAAAACCCTCAACAGCCAAAAAAATGTGTGTTCTGCAGAGTCCTGGTAAAGGATATGCCAGAAATAATTTTTTTAACATGGGTTCCCAGGTCCCCATTTTGAGTGGGGAGGGGGAACACCCACACTGCTCCCCCTTCTCTGCATGTCCTAAAACTTGACTAATAAGGGAAGTTTTATTGGAAGTTAAAAGTCATCTGCCTGAGAAGATAGGACCTTACAGTCTGCATACAAGTAGGCCATCTCTATAAAACAGATTTGCATGAAAAATTCCAGTTCTGAAACAAGACCAAAGTCGGCAAGTGGACAAGCAATAGAACCAGTGCTAAACTACATCAAATGACAGCAGATCGAATGGTTGGGACATGTGTCAACACTGCCATTGACCATTTGATAAAGGGGGGAGAGATATAAACAAGTTAAAAAAAATTAATTAATTTAATTAATTTCCATATACCCGTTCTCCTCCCCCCCCCCCCCCCCAACCCCCTTTTTTTTTAAATAAACGCATTTCTTGGTTTCTTATTGAACTTAGTTGTTTAGAAGCTCTATTATCATGTTCATTTATTTTTCCAGTCACAGTTCATGTTGTGTTTGGTACAGTTTTCATACACACTTTAGTCAAAACATTAATTTGTATTTGTGTGCATATTTTCCATTCCCTTTGTTGAGCTTTCTAGTGACATTGTGTGTTGTATTTAACAATTGTTTCCCCTCACAGATAACTACAAATACTTGGAGGACAGAGTGGTCGTTGATGGCAAACTGATCACCAGTCGAGCTCCTGGGACATGCTTCGAATTTGCCCTGGCCATTGTAGAGCAACTTTTGGGCAAGGAGAAGTCACAGTCGCTGATCAAACCTTTGCTGTTAAAGTTGTAAGAGGCGTGGGGCTTGGGTACGGCCTCTGTTACCATACAAGTACCTGGCAATGCCTCAAGTACCTACATTGAATTTGACAAGGATTTGCAGATGGAAATGTTCCAGTTTTTGTTTTTGTTGTTGCTATAAAAGATAGCATAACCTGTAAATTTTTGTGTTTTGTTTTTTACTGTGGAAAATGGTGTCGTTTAGTGAAGCTGCCAGATAATTTTAGCTGTTCTCATATATTATTTAGTCGGCTCTGTGGCTAAGTCGATGCGAACGCTTCGTAATGCCGGGATCCCGGGTTTGATCCATGCTGCGGGCCATGCACCTTGCTTTGGTTTCAACAGTGGTATCAAGAAAGCCGACCGTCCAGAAAGCAATGACAAACTACTGGACGTAAATTTGCCTAGAAAAACCACACAACAGCCAGGGGCTGTTGGGGTTGGTTCTGCAACATCCTGTAAAGGATACTCAACTAACCTAACCATATATCGTTTATGTTTTTAATATTTAAAAGTTAGTATTCCTTTACCATTGATGGAGGTTTCAGTTTTTAGAATAACATGAATATTGACTGTCTTACACATCAAGTCGGTGCTTCTGGGATACTCTTAAGGTTGTGAGATTTATTACAGATTTGGTAGTCTGCTGTTCATACCCCTTCTTCTCCTCCTCCTCCTTCTTCTTCTTCTGTTAGCTTTCTGATTTACACCGACAAACTAGTTCTTGTGATAAACTTGACTGTTTTTAGGAGTTCCCTTTTGGTGCCATACAGCTTTGAATGCAATGTTGACTCATTAGGCTAGTATTCCCTTCTTAATAGGTGGCTGCATTAACGCAGTCGATATGAGACTCGCTTTCAAATCCAGCTGCAACTCAGTGCAGCCTATAGTCGGTGTTTGAAACCGGGTGGTTCCTGGGGTTCACCCAGCCTCTAGGAAATGTGTACCAGAGTTGACACTCTGGGGTAAATGGAGAACGTTGTTGTAGCTACGGAGTTACGCGCAGACGGTGACAAAGGCGGACAGTTTCTTATCAGCTGTCCATACTGGTGGCAGAGCCCTTATGGTTTATAACCGTGTGCAATGACGCTGGTTCACATCTCTCGACTCCCGACTTTACCTTTTTAACCTTTTCCCTTCTTAATTGGCTGTACAAGGCACATTCTTGGAGGATATGTTCTGTAGTCTGCACAAACAGCCTACAAGGGCACAATGGTGAACTACTTAGACAAACCCTGTACATATGCTTGTTAAGTGTGTTATGTCCTGTCCTGAGGCGTAGAGTAACGACTTTCCCTTGACGGTCAAGTAAGAGGTAGTCATCTCTGGCCAGATTCTGTTCACTTCGGATAGATTAAATTACCCTTTTCTTCTCAAACTATGTTACTGCATTTTCTTCCTGTTCACATTCTTCCTTCCCCTTTCTTAGCAAGTTTATTGCGGTGTCATTTCCCTTAAGGTTGCAGTAGCCTTGGATCCACCGGAGCACAGATAAGCAAAGGACATATTTGTAGTTTTTCTTTTAGTGAAGTCTTTTTACATAAGAGTTGCCGTAGCAATGTGGCTAGATGATTACTTTCCAGCCCGAACGTCTAGGGTTTAGATCTGACTTGAGGATTTTGTTTTTTCAGAATTAAACTTGGCGCTCAGGAAAATGTTATTTTACAATTGAATATACAAAATCACTTAACTGGGGTCTGTCCAAGAAAACTCTGCATCTATCTGGTTAGTTGAAGCTGTAAGGTATGTGTGAATACAGGAAATGAATACTTGTTAAGAAATAATATAGAATTCAAGGGCTGTAACTAAAAATATATTAGATAAAGCTGTGTTGGACATTAAGTCCCTTAGACAAGTTGGACTCCATTAGATAGATAAGGTGGTTCTCAGAAGATATTCTAGTCTCTATCATTGGCTATAGAAGACTGTGGTAGAAGCTAAGAATTTTAAGAAAATTTTTTAGCTTGTTGTGGATGCTGTACTATGGATTTTTCCAAGACTTCATTAAAATAAACTGGATGTAGTAACATTAAATGGTTTTAACACTCTTGCAGAATAAATTTTTTTTTTTTCATTCAAGAGGTTTTGATGTTAACTACACAAATTTGTAATTCCCCCCCCCCCCCCCCCCATCCCTGCTCCAAAGGTTTTATGGTCATTTTAACTTGTTTCTGTCTCAGTTCTTCCTTGAAAATGGTCTGTCAAAATGTCAATTAAAACAAATATACTGAATACAGATAAACTGGATATAGTAAGATTAAATGGTTTCAACACTCTTGCAGAATAAATTTTTTTTTTTTCATTCAAGAGGTTTTGATGTTAACTATACCATTTTTTAATTACAAAAAATAAGGTTTTTATGGTAATTTTAACTTGTTTCTGTACCAATTCTTCCTTGAAAATGGTCTGTCAAAGTGTCAATTAAAATAAAGTTCTGCAGGGATTCAACCACATGCCTGGCCCCTGAAAAAAAGCCATACAAGTGTGCTAACTGCTGAACCACAGTAGCTCTCATTCACTAGCATTATCCTTGAACAAATGTTGTTTTTTTTTTAGTGTCTTTAATTTTGGCAGATATTTTTGTGTTCAGATACGAGTATGAATTTTTCTTAACGTCTGTTTTCGTATCATTTGCTTGCTGATTTAACTCTTAGTGAACACTGAAAAATACATTTTTTTTTACTGTTAAGGTGAAAAGAAATGTTATTGCATGACCAGGAGTTAGTTTATGACTTTAAACTTATATTCACTCCATCAGTGTTCTTTAGAACATTTCTTCATTGAAAGTAGTTCAGTGTTCTTTGGTGAAATTATATGTAATTGTGAAATATGGCGCTGTATTATGAGCCACGTGCACTAGTTTCTAGAATTACTGACCATTTGGTTTGTGGTTTCCTAAGAGTTAAAGTATGTGTTTTCCTTTCATCAAGTCAGTATAGAATGAACATGTAGTTACATGAATTCACACAGTATACGTGACTTATTTGTTATTATTGCTGTTCCTGTTTGTGAAATAAAATTGATGCTACCCGATACATGTGTTGATTGTTGATTGTAGCTTTGAAGAGGGGAATGGTTGGGACAAGAAGATGATGGAGAGATAATATTCAAGTAGGCCTACTAATACTTGGGAGCTACCAACTGGATAGAGAAGGCCACAGATGAATAAAGGTAGGTTTTCTCCTCTTTCTCCTCCTTGCTGCTATTCTTTTCCTTTTTCTTCTGCTCTTGATTCTTCTCTTCTTCTTCTTCTCCTCCTCTTTATTCTTCCTCTTTTCCTCCTCCTCCTCCTTCTTCACTTTCACCAGCTGTAAACTTTGGAGGAGTTATGATTGCTCATCCACTTCTGGACTTCAGGCTTGTTTTGAACTGGAGGTTTTTGTGTGTGTTTACGTTCATTTTACAGGCCTGTCTTATTTGTCTGCAGCACATGAAACTCAACTTCTGGAAAAAGTATGTAGTTTCAGAAGTGGACAAACAGCCAGAACTTTCCATCGGAGTTTACAGCTGGTGAATGCAAAGAAGAACAATAAATCTAGCCTTACCTATAATCGCCTTTTACAACATGCCTGTTTAAGTAAGTTTTTTTTAAAAAATGGGGGGGGGGGTCAAATGACTCTTTTCTGCGTATTGAGCTAGACCTGTATTTTATAGACCAATCGGCTCTTGATGGGTGATGTGGTCACCGTCACGCCAGCTGCATGTACTTGCCAGGACTGTACCTGGTACCCACTCAAGGCTGGGTAGACCTAGAAGTCAAAAATCATTTTTGAAAAAAGTCTGGCTCTATCAGGACATAACAGAACAAGTCATTATCCTCCGCCTCAGAACAGGGCACAACCGATTGCGTAACCACATGTACACACAATTCAAGATAGGCGTATCAGCCATGTGCACTTGTGGAAATGTGCCCCAGACAGCAGAGCATGTACTCCAGGACTGCACCGATTTTGGCACATTAAGGCAAACCTTTTGGCCAGAAAGAACAACAGCGGAACGTAAACTCTGTGGACCACTGAATGAACTAACAACGACAGTGAAATTTATACAAGAGACAAAACTGCTGATATAGACAACTTGTTTCAGGTGAATGGAAGAAGAAGGACATGAACCTTATACCTTCCGATCTGCAGGCGAGCATCTAGCCGCTATATCACAGCGACTACCCCTGTTAGGGTGCAGTTTATATATATATATAAACTTTAAGTTTCAACCTCGTAACAAAGATAAATGTGCTGTCTCCACAATGAACATTGGCTAAAGTGTACTGCTGCTGTGTTAAAAATATTAAGTGGTGATGCTCCACTCTCTTCCACGGTGCGACTCTTGTACCACAGACTAAAAACCATGTACAGACTAAGTTAGTAAAAAATGACGAATTTCTTACACCAACACGATTGCACGACATTGGAGTAAAGCAAGATAAAGCATGTCAAAGCCGCCTTCAACACTAAGATAGGAGAATGAACAGACTAACTTTAATTTCAAAGGGTCATAAAATTGGCTCGCAGGACTGTCTTACATTCGGCCCTTCCAAGCGCCTACCTTTCACACAGCAGATGTATTTTATCAATAAAATATGTTATGATCATGTAATAATATGTACATTGTACATCAAAAGACATGATAACCAGCTCCTAATAGGAACGACCAGAAGAGCTACCTTGACGTGGCTTCTGCATCTTAGGACTGAGCGTACATGGGAATGCCCAATGAGCAGTGAGGCGGATTGTGATAACATAATGAGGCTGTATTTTGTTTTCCCCATCTTGGAAATCCAACCATTGGACTCGAAGTTTATAAAATTGTTGAACACATTCACTAACCCCAGCCGCATTCCTGAGAGAAAATTGTAATTCTTACATATTGTCAGCGCCATATATTGCTGCTGCCGCCCCTTTGGGTGGTAAGCTACTTTATGATTAAGCAGATTGTGGTGAGGCTCTGTGGGATCATATTTACAATGCAACAGAACAGACAGAAAATGCATACACTGAATGACTAATTTGATAG